AAATTTGCGAGGAAAGTAGAAAGCTAACACAGATTCACAATAGGGCCGAGCCTTTTTTTAGCCCGTTGCCTTGTGTATTACTTAGTATGAAGCTCCAAAAAAAAAAAAAATTATACGGTCACCTCATTCAAAAAAATGAGAATTAGAAATAATCAGGTATTTAACAGATCTTAGTCCCTAAGATGTAACTGACGAAACTAAAATGTCAGAAGGATCAGTGTGTTTTTGTTTAAAGGATCAGTTGCCTCCCACTTACATAACAACCGTTGATAATTACACTTGCTGCATTGTGGTTAGTGGCTGAGTAACTGAAACAATGAAACCTTATGCCACACCATAACATTTGAGTTTTCCTAATGTCCTTCTTCGTCTGGTTCATCCAAGTCTCCGAGTCTGATTTGTGTGACAGGTAGAACAGACTTATCAGTCAACAAACCGCTGTCCTCTCTCCAGGAACCGCCAATGTTATGACAGTTACACTTTTTACCATCGGAACAAGAATTTGTTACTCCGCATGCGCACATCTTGTCATGACCTGTAGCTCCTCCCCAGTAGTTCATCGGTGCTCCACCACGTGACACCCACCAAGCATAATTATCCTCAATAAAAGTTGTGTCATTATTGCACTCAAATTTGATAAACTGTTCACAGTTCTGTGAGACTCGAGTGAGTGCTGATAGCTGAGCGGTGCTGACTCCAGTGTATCGCACATATTTACTGTAACATCCAGGAAAAACACATCCAGGATTTTTCCCAACATAAGTTCTTCTCTCACTATCATGACTGATAACCGTCACACCAACCCCACCTTTGTCAGTCATGTCACAGTACACGCTGAAGGGTGTCACGCTTCCTTTGTCGTCAGGGTCAATCGTATAAGTACCTGAAGATGCACCTCTATTGTGGGCTTTTATTTCGCTACAAGAGGTTAGCTTTCGAACTTCAAGCACAGTTATAGCTGTTATGGAGCGATAAAAATTTCTCGCAATGCAATTGTAGGTTCCAGCATCAGTCGGGGAAACATTTTTAAGAAGCAGGGAGCCATTTGAATAAACTACGTGACCCGAAGGCAGACCTTGGCCTGTCCGCTGCCACACAATCTCTCTTGCTCCTTGTGCTTCGCAAGTCAATAACACATTTACTGAGGGTATGGTTAAACCTTTAAAGGGAGGGAATAATGTAAACTTTAGTTTTTCCAACACGATGACTTGTGTACGGGTGGAGTCCTCGTTAAGAATGTTCTTTGCAGAACATATGTAGTCTCCACCATCGGTTTTAGTCACACGGGTTATTTCCAGTCTGCCATTGAGAACTTTTGATCTTTCCTTTGACATGTGACCGAATGCTTTTCGCCACGTGATGGTTGGTGTGGGCTGACCAATAGCTTGGCAGAACAGATTCACTTTGTGTCCTTCTTCAACAATAACAGATGAGGGTTTCTGAATGATCAATGCACCAACTGATATAAAACCAAGAGGAAGAAAAGGTGAGTAAACTTTCTGAGTGTCATCTCGAGGTAATGACATTAGTCATAGTTTTTAAAGGCCAATTTAAAACGGCAGAGAAAAAACCTGTGAATTAAACATTCTGTTTCCTTCTTGTTTCAGTCACCCTGATCCATCAAAGCACAAAAATATGATGTATGCTCCACATCAATTTATATCAGAACAGTCCCAAAATAAAATAGTTTATGATGAATTTTTGAGTCGAGCGTATAACGACGGAATGAAGTAATTCTTACCTTGAACAGTCAACCTAGCCAATGACGTCATAACCCCAAGAATATTCCTTGCTACACAAGTGTAGGTTCCGTCATCTTTTGACGTAGCATCATTGATCAGCAGGTCTCCACCAGTTGACACAATGCGTTTATCTGCAATGAGACTGGAATTATCTTTTAGCCATATGACTTTTGGCTGCGGATTCCCTTCAACCTCACATTGAAACGAAGCTGTACCAGTTTCTTTCACGACTATAGACATGGGAGCTGTCACAATGGAGGGAGCGGAGATAGATTTACCAGGCTCGCCCCTAGCTCCAGGAGGGCCCATAGGTCCGGGAGGTCCTTGAACGCCCTGAGGACCATGGTTTCCCTTAGGGCCCATTATTCCTTGTTGCCCGGATGGTCCGTGTTTACCTGGGGGGCCTATTGGTCCAGCTGGTCCCGGAATTCCTTTTGGCCCAGGTGATCCATTTTTTCCTGGGGGGCCTCTCTGACCGGGTCTCCCTCGTCTTCCCCTGATGCTTTTTGGGCACTGGGTGCTACAAGCCTGGCTGTTCATAACAAGTCGTACTTCTTTTCTGATCGCCTCACGATCGATGCTGACATTGGCGTTTGACCTCCCATCTGTATTTTTCACATGCCGTTTTCGACGAGTTTGTAGGTCTGCAGGAAACATCACAGGATAACTACCGCTTCGTTCCCCATAGCTTATTTCACTTTCATGTTGCCTAAGCTTCTGTTTTAAAACACGGAAATCTCAGTCTGCTGAACCTCTTATAGATCAACAAATTTTTGTCATCATGCGCTAATCATCATTTTGTGAGTGAGGTCGTATAAACTCAAAAGTGGCCTTTTCAAGTTGGCAGTTGTATGTCTCTTGAGGTGCATGACCTGATTCTCTTGTATAAAGAGTTGTTTAAATATTGTGTCCAAAGCATAGTTTGGGACATAGGCGAGTTTGTTACAAATTCATAGCCTGTTTTACTATTGGTGTGAACTGAATTAAGATTCAGCGCCCCCAGCCGTTCGAGCTAAATTGAGTATTGCTACGGTAAAAGTGCCCATCAAAAAGGGGAATTTTTGGAATTTTTGAAACAGACCTGGGAGTATTGCTTTGAAATTAGAACGACGCGAAACAAAACGAAACATATCGTCATTAAATTAGATTAGCAGCTGACTCTGGACATTTGATTGCATGTGATTATATTTATCATAAACTTAAAGAATTTTTAAACTGTCAAAATAACTTTCACTTCCCGTGTTTTGAGATTGAACGCGCTCGTCTGAAAAGCTTTTTTTGTCTTAAGATGAGCTACGCATTATGGAGAATTGTCCTTATTTAATTTTTACGAAGCTTCCGAAACATACAAAGAGTTTAATTGGGTTGGGAACCACTTGCTTTAAAACTCAACTTAATTTGGTTACATCAACTAAGCTATTATAGTAAATTGG